CCTGTCTTCAACCGCCAGGGCTTGACGACAGGTGCCGCTGCTGAACAGTTTTGCATGAAGAAGATAATAATTTAGCACGAATTTTTGATTTAAAATCATGAATAAGTACAGCAATCACTTGTTTTATTTGTATCTTTTTATAACTTAATAGAGTTTTTAAATTATCGGGTAATGATCGATTGTGTGTGAAAGGAGGAGAGGGATGAGAAGGTAAAATAGAATTCGTGAATTCGTTCCCTTTTCTTCAAAAGTGCTCCCATAATTACCTGTCTCCCCAAAGATAATTCTCCTAAAGATTTGAAGTCAAATATTGATTATTATTCATACCATTTCCCTATTTCTTAAGTAAACAGCGAAATCAATTTGTGATGAAACTTTTCACCTGCGACTCAGTTTTCTTGTAGTATGAGACAAAATATAACTTTAAACGAAGCATTATGCATGCGAATTTCTTGTTTTTTTTTTGTTTGCCCTTTTGCAAATCTTTGTCCAGATAAAAGCACCAGTTCATACGTCTTGTTTGCATGTTTGCAGAAAGCACAAGATCGTTCGGTTTCTATTGTAAAATCCTTGATATATTGTTATAGTCAAGGAATTTTCTAGGACGAAAGACACAACTTAGATTTTATTTAAAATTCCATATTTTTTAGTCAATTTTTTTTTCAAAAATTTCCCAAATTTTAACCAGGCATCTCATCCCAGGCAAATTTTAACCCAGGCATTTCATCGTAGTGTGATTAGTGATCAAATGGCAATGAACTAGAAAAAGATGAAGGAACAAGATAAAAATCCCCCTTCCCCGTAGCTCTAGAGATCTCCAAATGACACGGTCGTACATTTTGTTCAGTTATGCTCGACAGCCTAAAATTTTGGTATTACAGAAGTAGTAACGTGATATTTTACGATAAATTTTCGATTACTGATCAATTTACGGCTATATTACCGTAGGAGAAAGCAGAAAAAAAGGAAGTCAAAAGTCAAGCGTTCCCCAATATTTTCATTTTCTGCTAGAGCTAATTTTGGAAGCAGTCCCAGTGGTAGCAATTGTCAGTAGCAACAAATAGGTTTATGAGAATGGTCAGTTCTTATGAAATTTACTTAGAATCAAACT